AAAAATGTCCCAATTTAATTTAACTTGACCCTTCGCTTAATTGGAAGTCAGTTTTAGCGCAAATCTGCATATGTCAGTACTACATTATCTATGTTGATTTTTGGATATGATAAATCCTCACAATCGACTCATACTACACATTTCGACGTTGTTCTAAACATATTGCGTTATTAACTTACTTCAGTACAGTATATTTTCAGGCTTAAAACTAATCTTTGTGGTAATTTGGTTATCCACAAACTGGACTTATAGGGAGCATTGGTCATTTTGCATCTTCATCATAAACTTGCATTAGCCAACTAAGTTTCACTAATTAAACATTGAAATTACCTGACTGATTGAAATATGGATAGGGAAATACGTAAATCAGAACAGATACAGAGACAGCCGTCAATCAGAGATGGTAGAGAGGAGTAGGCAAGCAGCTGTGAGAGGAGTGATTATTAAGAAGTGAAAAGATAACTCAAAACTTGTTTATATCCCAAGCTTATAGAGTGAATAACCAAATAAATGTATTTAAAATAAAAGAAATAATGCGTCTACATAGTTTTTTTTTTGAAAAAGGTAACATAGTTGTATATTGATATAAGACTTCACTAAAATTGTGAAGTCACCCATAATTACAAAAAGGGTGCCCTAGTAAAAAGTAGACACTCCTAGTCCTTCTTCTCCTTATAAGGACTCTAATACATTTAAAATGGATTCATGATCCTCCAAAAGCTGACCTTTACACTAAAAATAAAAAAGAGCTAAACATTTCATCTTAATCTTCTGAATGTTGCTAGACTTATCTTCAAAATATTTTTGATTCCTCTCTTCCCAAACTGTCCACCATATGCATGCTGGGACAATCCTCCATCTCTCTCTTTCTCTAGATAGTGTGCCCACTTTACTCCAGCTTGCCAGAATATCAAGGACTCTTCCTGGCATTGCCCATTGAATTCCCCTCAGACTAATGAAAATTCTCCATATCTGGGTGGTGAACTTGCAATGCAGAAACAGATGGTGAATTGTCTCTGCCTCCTCTTCACATAGATAACATTTGGAACACAATTGGAATCCTCTTCTAGTTAGATTGTCATGAGTTAGAACTGCTTCTCTTGCCAGTAACCATGTGAAGCAGACCATCTTGTATGAGATTTTTATTTTCCAGATCATCTTCCATGGCCAGCATTCCACCTGATTATTGGACAGGTTAAACTCCTTGTAAGCATCTTTAACCGAGAACTTCCCTCGACTATTACCTTGCCAATTGATCATGTCTTGATCTTGGTTTGAGCTGATGCCACTGACTGCTGCAAAGCACTGTAGAATTCCACAACTCTGTCAATCTCCCAATCATTTAATAGTCTTCTGAATGTGAGGTTCCAACCTTGGTCTGACCATACCTCTTTTATAGTTGCATTCTGTTGTTGACACAAACTGAAAATATCAGGGAAGAGACCCTTCAGAGGTCCTTGTCCTAGCAAATTGTCCTCCCATAATGCATCTACATAGTATGAGCAAGGTTATGCTGATTCCGCATTAAATAACCGATACTTCCACAACAAGTTACTTAGATTCCAACCTGTTCTTTTTCATTACCCACCATTTTCTCCAGAATCCTGATCCCCTAAGGCCTTAATGGAAATAGGTTAGGGGCAAGTACCTGCTGGAAGCATAGCATCGGTATCACCAGCAAGTTTGTTTTCTTAATGGAAAGAGGTTAGGGACCTTTCGCCACTTGTATGAAAAACTCCTTGATGTTTTATTTATCTGTTTTTTTCTTCTCCTGATTTGGATGACTGAAATTTTTCCCGTCTGCTATTTTTGTAAGTTTCACAATGATAAGGTCTCGTTTTCTACTTAAATTGAATTGGGTTGGAATTTATTGAAATTTTCAACAAGTACAAATGGAAGGATCCCTAGAAACAGACTTCTGCTACTTAGACTTATTAATTAAGTTATAGGATTTTGTATAGAATATCAAAACAAAAATGATTTCGTTTCTACCATTATTATGATAATACATATTCCAACCTGCTTGAATACCAAGAAAATAAATGGATTCAACATTTGATCTTTTCTCTGAGATAAAGGCATAATAATAAGAAGGAATATATAGAATTAGAATCGGTTTTTTTATCATTTAACCCCCTTTTATGTTTCTAAATTGCACTTTTGCCTTCATTGTTAATCTACTTAGGTCATACGTAACAACTTATGGAGGTCATCTTATTAGAAACCTGTGTAAAAGCTTTTCTTACTGTGTAACTACTTTGAATTTCATCTGAACTTGAGAAATGTCCCATACTACTGCTGAATTTTGCCCATGTAAGCACTAGAAGTGATTTCTCCTTTGTGATTGCAGCAAGTGAAGAAGAACAGGGATCCAAGATGGGAAGAGGAGTTTAGTTTTGTGTTGGAGGAGCCTCCCGTGAATGATAAACTGCATGTGGAAGTTATCAGCACCTCAACAAGGATTGGCCTTCTACATCCAAAGGTACGTAAGCTGCAATTTACTCTTATTTATTTTCCTCATCAGCAGACTGAATGCTGCAAGTAATATTTGTCGAAAACTTAAGATCACCATCTAGTGTATGAGTCAAAGTGTCCTTAGAAATCATAATAATGCCATCTTTTAGTTTCAAAAGCTCAAATCCATCCGCCATCAGTTATTTCATGAGATATTACTGGTTTTCCTATTTTAATGAGTTCCTAAGAAATATGTTCTCTTGTTTATATTGTCCTGCAAATTTTCCCGTGGCCCTCCTCCCAGGACCCCAAAAAAGAGTTATCATCTTCAATTAATTCAGAGTTTTCATTTAGCAATAATGAGTATTTAAAAAAAATTAATTTAATGAATTTATGGACCTTCTTTTGGGAAAGAAAACATTAGTACAATACTTTCCCTAATAGTAATGAATTTATTAACTTTATATGTGGCTTCAATTAAGGACTTGACATGGTTAGGGCATGACTTTTCTAATAGAAATAAAATTAAGAGATAACCATGCCCTAGTATCCCTAAATATGAGCTGCATAAGCTTTTGATCTCTTGCCAACTCACCAATTATTTTTATCAATTTTGGATATCTCGTATATAGGGCTCTGCCATGTATTCCTATGATCAATTTAGTATGGGCGATTAAGCAGTAACACTCTCTCAAGATGAAATGTTATATTTTCTGTTTTCGACAAAGTCGAAAAGCAGATGGAAGGTAGTATTATTATACTTGGAAGATAAAAACACGTATTCCAGAAAGGATGGAGTAGGCTGCTTCTATATGCTACTGTTTTCAGTTGTTCGTTGCCCTACTAAAGCGTTAGCTTTTTTTCTTTTGGTGTACTTCTTAATACAGGAAGTGTTAGGGTATATTGATATAAGTCTTTCAGATGTCGTCCACAACACAAGGATCAACGAGAAGTACAACCTCATAGATTCAAAAAATGGACGGATTCAAGTTGAGCTGCAATGGAGGACCGCTAAATAATTCTATCCCGCCTTTGCTAAGCTACATAAGTTCCCTCTTATGCTAAGACAGACATTTTTCTCTCTTCAAACTTGTGTGTTGAAAAATCATCGAATGTTTTGTGTACATAGTACAATGACAACCAGCTGGTTATGGTTATTTATGTTTTCAGTACAGTTCTTCTCTGCATAGCAGGTCGGTTCTGAAACGGCACCCCTTAGATATATTTGATTCTCATCTTTCATTAGATATTCTTTCTTGGTTGTTTTAGTCCTCAGATATTTGTTGAACTAATCCAGTTAAGAGCGACTGAAACAAGAGTGATTCATAGGGACTTAAAAGAGGGGTTACCTCTTTTTAGTCTCGGAACTTCAGCTTGATGAGAAAAAGGTGGTTCAGGTAAGGTCAACCTTAACCGGTGTAACAGATTAAATGAGTTTAAGTTATATGCACTGTCAAGAATTTTTACTCCAAAAGTTGTATACAATTACAGTACATATAACTTAAAACTCGGATGTATTTGTTTACATGTCTCGTGTGCGAATATTGAGTTGCCAATCTGCTAATACTGCCTAACATTCTTGGGGACACTAGCACTAGATTTTCCCAAAACAGGGAAGGTATTAGTTGTAAGTTTTCTGTAATTTTTTGGTTTTTTCTTGCCCAATTGTTTTCTTGTTGCAGTGCATGCATCCGTCAGCCCCAAGCCCCTTCCAGGAAAAAAAGGTGCTTCGTGGAATTTGTGTTTGTATTCAATAGGAAAACACGAGATTACCAATGGACTACATTTTGCTTTTACGAGCCTAATCCAAAATATGAACCATGAGAGAAAATACCTTTTGAATATATGAAGATACAAAAATCTAAATGTCGAAGAAAACTACTAATATACCTTTTGAATATATGAAGATACAATATAGGATGTTTTCTGAGTCAAAATTTTTGAAAAGAAAATGGACCTGAATTGATAGGAAGTGAATACGGAAGTTGAATTGACGGAGACCGAATATTGGACAAGTTCCAGGAGGGAGGGAGGTGGATAAAGAGTCTGGAACTCAATTGTGGTCCTTTTAGACTCAAAATACCGAAATAAGTGGGAAGAAAATTTAGTGACCAAAATATATAAAACATTGTTTTAAACCGCGGTTTACTTTAACGTCCGTTTGGGACGTTAAGGTAAAGCGCATTTCTAAACCATGTTTTATATAAAATGCCTTTTCAAACAAACGCTTTACCTATTTTGTGGGCCCACCAATAATTCTTCTGCGCTTAACTGACACAACCATAATTCAAATGGGTAAAACGCCCTTTTAAAAAGCGTTTTACTTCAAAAAATTCGGCCCTCCCCCCCGGAGGTATTGTCTTATTTAAAGGTGTTAAGGGTTTTGCAAAAAATTCATTCAGAAATATTCTCAACTCCTGATAAATTTTTCTTCTTGTTAAATTCTCAAGTTTTTTTTTCATAATGTTTGAAGAGCGAAAAGTAAGGGTTTCATTATATTGAGNCATGTTAAGTTGCCACTTTCAATGGAGTACGATAGACTGGTATCGTTGTTATGTAATAAAATGAGTGTGAGCAAACATTTGGTGAATCTTAAAATAACCGGAAGATATCCGTATTCTGTGACTCTGCAAGAGGTTGCTTGTTACGCTGAGTTTAACATCGAGGATGATGAAACTCTAAGAGATTTTTTGGGGACTTCGGATAAATACCGGGAATTTATTTTGATAAAACTGTTGGAAATGTACGTGAAGGTTGAAGACGTTCGCAATAATGCGGTTGTGCAAAGCAGGGATAACCCTCAATTATCGGATGGTTATTCTGGAGAAGCTTTAGCCGAACAAGTTCCGGCTGAAAGAGTTTGGCCGGATCTAAACTTATTTCCACGGGCGAATGAGGAGCGGGGAAATAATTTCTCTCCTACTTTACTGTGTTAGTTTTCTTATTTTACATGTTTGTTTTATAATTTTATATGTTTGTTTGTAAATTAAATAATTTATTTTTATAATTATACAATATTTAATTATTAAATATTCACATATGGGTTCCGGGCTCGATATTTGAGGCCTAGTAGCACCAAGATATCCTGAATTCTTGTATGTGTTAGTTTTATTATTTTACATGTTAGTTTTATAATTTTATATGTTTGTTTGTAAAGTAAATAATTAAGTTTTATATTTATATAATATTTACTTATTAAATATTCACATATGGGTTGCATGCTCGATATTTGTGGCCCAGTAGCACCAAGATATCCTGAATTCTTGTATGTGTTTGTTTTATTATTTTATATGTTTGTTTGTAAATTAAATAATTAGTTTTTATAATTATACAATATTTAATTATTAAATATTTATATATGGGTTCCAGGCTCGATATTTGCAGCCCAGTAGCACCAAGATATCCGGAAAATATTATTCTTTTCTCATGTTATTTTCTTACGATCGTTCACTATAATTGGACAGAGTTTGTGTTTGATCTATCAATTATTTTGACGTATTTTTGAGTATAAGAGATAATTAAATTACAAGGATACTACGTTAAAAGACACTATATTCTATTACGCTAAAAGATAATACATTTTACTACCCTAAAAGGGCACTATATTACTAGTCTTTAAGTAAATAAATAATATAAACCAGATAAAAATAACAAATACATTTAATCACATAACATTCACGAAAATACATATACAACAGTAAAAAAAACTTATTTACATTTTTTTTAACAAATAATAATGATTTCTCAATTTTTACATATTTTTTTAGCACATTAATATCTAAGTCCGGATAAAATAACATACCAATGTAATCGCAAAAAACACACAAAATAACATAGAACACATATAAAACAACTAATATATAATTTTTATACAAGTTTCGACAAAAACTAAATCGGAATACCTCGATTTATGTTTTTTGGAAAGTTGAAAATTGAAGATTTGAGTACGAAACGAGCAATCCACAACGAGAGAAGGCCTTAGCTAGGATGTGAGACCAACACTCTTTACTTTTTGTGGGACGGGTAGGGTCCACTTGAGTTTTTTGGTCGTTAGGAGGGGGNTAAAACATGGTTTAGTAAAGCGTTTTATATAAAACGCTTTATCAAATCATGTGACGGGTATTTCAATAGGTAAAACATGGTTTAGTAAAGCGTTTTATATAAAACGCTTTATCAAATCATGTGACGGGTATTTCAATAGGTAAAACATGGTTTAGTAAAGCGTTTTATATAAAACGCTTTATCAAATCATGTGACGGGTATTTCAATAGGTAAAACATGGTTTAGTAAAGCGTTTTATATAAAACGCTTTATCAAATCATGTGACGGGTATTTCAATAGGTAAAACATGGTTTAGTAAAGCGTTTTATATAAAACGCTTTATCAAATCATGTGACGGGTATTTCAATAGGTAAAACATGGTTTAGTAAAGCGTTTTATATAAAACGCTTTATCAAATCATGTGACGGGTATTTCAATAGGTAAAACATGGTTTAGTAAAGCGTTTTATATAAAACGCTTTATCAAATCATGTTTTACCTAAACGTCTTATCAGCTTCAGGTAAAGCGTGGTTTGAAAAGGCATTTTATATAAAACTTGGTTTTGAAACGCGCTTTACCTTAACGTCCCAAATGGACGTTAAAGTAAAACGTGATTTTGAAACGCATTTTATATAGTTTGGTCATTAATTTGTTTCTACTTATTTCGATATTTTGAGTCCAAAAAAGATCACAATTGAATTCCGGACTCGGTGGATAAAGGTGTTTTAGGATAGCTCCCACGAGCCTTGTTCAGAAAATGGAAAAGGATGGGGTAATACTCACTACTGAAAGGATAAATGCTCTATATAACTAGCTAGAGCAATAATGAAATTAATTGTTTCTTCTCCTTTATTATTCAACAAAAGATCGATAGATAGATTAGATCGAATTTGAGATGTAAGCATTTTAAGGAAAGTAATATGTCATGAAATCCGTACAAATTTCGCTCGGTACTGGATAAGCTTATGGGTAGGTTTGCATTTGTATTAAAGAAGAAGTACGTGTAAGAATAAAATTCGAAACCTTGCACTATTTCTTGGATTGTGACCCAACCCAAAGATATGGAAAAGTTGAAAAAGGGGTAGGTAAAATATACTCAAGAACTTACACAAGTGGACATCTTTCTCTCTCTCTCCGCCTCTGAAGTCATCAACGCCAACTCAAGTTTATGATCATGATTCTTACGCACAAATTGCTATATTAGGCAAATTGGAGGAATTTAATACTCTAAATAGCATGGACAACAAGATCGAGGTGAATCAATCTTCCCAATATCTCAAACCTTACTTATTGCATAAGCTTCAACCACAAGTTCTCGAGATATATAGACCAATAGGTAGGAACCTTACCTAAATCGATTACAAGGTAGGAAAAACTTTACCTAACACGTGATATATGCATCAAATTACACAATAGTAAAAACAACGATTTTTTATGGGGTGTCCTTCGAAATATGGAACTCGACAGGAAGTCCACTGAAAAAAAAAATATGAATGAGAAGAAACGTACAATACAATCTATAGAATCTCCAGTTACGATTCTTATATATTATCACGACCTAAATTCCACCGTAGGGATCGTGATGACACCTAATATCTACGACTAGGTAAGTCAATCACTTAACAACATTAAATCAACAAAATATGATAATAATAAGATTGAATTTAATATAAAAGCGGAAATAAAGTTAACACAATGTTAAATGGCAATAGCTAATACAACTCCACATAATTAGGCATTACAAAGTCATGAGCTCTAACTGAATACATAAAATGTCTCAAAATACAATATTGTTCAGATATGAAAAATAATAGTACCAATGTAAGGACGGGACTCCAAGGAACTGCGACAGTCATGCATCTCTACCTTGAATCCTCGTGACCAATGTAAGCACTTACTCCCTAGGTCCGCTGCCTCCAACACCTAGATCTGCACAAAATATACAAACGTATAGTATGAGTACACCACAATCGATATCCAATAATTATTAAGAATAACCTCGGTGAAGTAGTGACGAGGTTTAAGTCATATGATACTTATTAGTTAAATAACCTGTGCAATATATCAATAACTGGTAACAGAATATGTAACAAAAAACAATATCAACAACCTTGTTAGAACATGCGAAAACAACTCGAAGTAGAAAAACCATCTTTGGCAACAAATCATCAAATAGAAGTGGAGGCATATGATAGCATGTCAAATT